GGTCAAATCTGCTCTAGATTGCCAGAAAAGTTCTATACTAATGTAACACACTTCTATACTAATGTAACAACAGGATTTGCTATTAACATTTTAGAATTAGCAAAAGTAAAATAAAATATTGATTTCAAAAGGTTATAAACTTCTTTTTTATTGATGTAATATTACGACAGGATTTTTTTTTTACTGCTGGATTTTAATTAATGTGCCATTAAGAAATATCAACTTTTTTGAATTCAAAAAATTTTAAATTATCGAATAAAAATTCTGTTTTTATTTTTTTATTATATATTTTTTATCATTTTAGGTGAATGAATGTTTTTAATTCATATACTCGCAAATCGAAAATCTTATAAACATTTTACTTTTTTAAGAAAATACATTGAATACAGAATGATCAAAAACCGAATGGAACAAGTATAAACCAAAAATATTTTTTGAAGAAAATATTTTCAAAGTTTACTTTGTAAAAAATGAGAAAAAATAATTTCTTTAGAAAAAGGTGGGACATGGCCCACAGCGCCCCGGCTCTATGGGCCATCTGGTCATCTGCCCTGAAAATAATATTAACACACGTTCAGGACTACGCAAATGTTGAAACTTTCAGAGCTCCAATTTGTCTGAAAAGTAGTAAAAATTCCGATACAAAAAAGAGTGGGCCAATGACATAGCTCTTTCCCTACTGTCTTGAGCACTAGAAACAACTTTAACATACATTTTCATTGGCACTAAAGAAATGTCAAAAGTTTCAGAGCGATAGCTAATCCGGATGGGAGTAAAAAATGAATTGCAATACTCCGCTTCAAAATAAATGGGACTGTGTCCCGTTTTCTATATATGGAAATCTATAGACTTGCATATCAAAATCCTTATACTTTTTTAAAAGATCAATCAATATAGAATGTTGCATTTTTGATATCATCAGGGTGACATTTTTTGTAAAAATTGCATTTTTGAGATATAGGGTGACATTTGACATGGGCATTTGACATGGGTTTATCTCAAATTGTTAACTCCGCAAAATCGTTAAAATTATTTTGTCTTGTCTTTTATAAAATCATCTAAAAAGGGGGATGAAATTAGTCACAGAATAATAAACAATGCATAGGTATATACAAAGAATATAGTTAAATAGAACTTTCAAACTTCAAAATTAAAAATGCATTAATCTTTTATAAATATGAAAGGTATATCAAGTAAATTTTAACTTTCGTAATTTTTCAATTCATCTGTAGAGAAATAATAGTATTTAATAGTATTTTACTTAATAGTATTTCACTTATACTATTTTACTTAATAGTTTTTCACTTATATTTTACTTAATAGTATTTCACTTATTTTATTTAATAGTATTTCACTTATAAAAGTTTGCAGTAGAAGAGTTTGAAAATTTAACTTGTTACCTTGAATTGGGTAATAATGAAAAATAAAATTTTGTTCTTTTAAACTACAGATCACAAATATTTATTTTATTAAAGTTAGTTTAGTAATGAATTTGTAAGTATTTTGACCGAGAGCTTAACGCCAGCAATACCACGTAGACCCCGTGATCAAATCACACCCTAAGTCAAAACTTGCATTTTGTTTTTTAAAAAATAAAATGTAATTTTTTCTTTATTTTTATGCTCCGGCCATTAATTTTGGAGAACTTAGGATCTGTCACAGTAAATGGATGAGACTAAATTGAATGACGAATAACACAAGACATTTTAGCACCTTATCTAAAAGAAAAAGACCATCATTCAAAGATCCGCTTCAGATATAGCAACAGTATTCCATATAAGGACGGATTTGAGATTTGTATAGATAAAGAATAAAACTCGGAGTAATTGACAAGTACGATAAAGAGACTTTAACAGATGCTAATTTTGCAATGGATTTAATATATAGTTTCCAAGGATCGGAAGAAAGAGTTAATCAAAGAAGATGAAGAATAGATGACTCGTCGAGTACATTACCGTTTATAAATAAGGAAGACCTAAATTGCTGCGATAACACTTACCTGAAAAAAATTGAGTTGTATCTGAGTTGAAGTTAACCAGCCACTGAGATCTTTATGCTGACGATCCTTTTCAAGCTCAAATAACCCTCCAAGCAATCAAAGTTCTATATAAGTTTCTACTTAAGTTATTTTTCTTATCAAGACACGAAAAAATACTAGTATTGTTAGCAAACAGTGCCATATTTTTTATTAATTTGTTATTTAGGTGCCCAAAGAAGTCCTAACGGTCTTGTCACAGAGCACCGCGGAAGTGCATTTAACCAGGAAGTTCACGCCTCTTTCTTTACCATGACGCGAAATATGTCCAAAGCTCGTTTTGAACCTGGATCTTTTGCTTATAAAGCAAGCGCTCTAACCACTGCACCACGGCCGCACTATATATCATATTACATGTGAGAATTCCTGGTAGATCGTTTAAGTAAATTAGGGCCAAGATTTTGAACCTTGCGGAACTCCTAAAGTTACAGGAAATGAAGAAGAGTGTTATCCATAGAAGGCAACTTTTATTATTGGTAAGGAACGATTTAACTATTGGTAAGGAACGATTCAATAATCTTAAAGATGTTACCTGATACACTGTTGGAAAAGAGTTTATGGAGAAAAACGGCATGCTAAATTTTATCAAAAGCTTTAAAAATATTGAGTGCGATAGTTTTAGCCTCTCCGCATCTATTTAATGCGCAATAATAAATATCAGTTATTACCGTTAACAAATCAGCAGTAGAACGAAGAGATAGAAATCCATATTGATGACCAGAAAGTAATTTATTAGGTTCAAGATGAGAAATTTAGTGTTTGTTAATTAAAGACTTGAAAACTTTGCTTTTGATAGTAAGAAAACTAATGGGACGGTAGTTAGACGAGTCATATCGCCCTCAAGAATATTTGAAAATAGGGATAACAGATGCCGCTTTCCAGAAGACTGGAAAACAAGACTTTGAGAAGCACTTGTTAAATAGTTTTGAAAGTATAGACAACAGCCTCGGAGTGCATCTCTGCAAGACTATAACAGGTATGCAGTCTGGACCATAAGCTGTAGAGGAGTGGAGAAAAGCTGGAGTGATAGGAATATTAAGCAATGGACCAACCTGTTTGTTAGCTATATTAGGTAGGATTTGATTAGTTGAACCAAAAGAGGAAATTGATAAAAAGTTTTAAGGAAACAAATCAGCTTTGTCTTTAGGTGAGGAAATAAAATCTGAACCATGCAAGAGAGGAGGAATGACAGATTTGCCCTTATTATGACGCTGTTAAAGATTCTCCAAAAGTCTCTAAAGCATAATTTTTGAAATAAAATACAAGATTTTGTAACTTGAGCATAGCAGGGTTAGGTGTTAGAAAAAAGCAATAGCAATAGTAACTAGACAGCTGAACTCAAATTAGTCGCACAAAGAGCAAGTAGGTCTGGTGAACTTTGCAAAACATAAGACTCATCGGAAGAAAAGTTCTTTCGAAAACCACATATATTAGTATATGATAGATTTAGAGAACTTGATGATAATTGTTTTTTGTGTTTTATAGAAAATTAACTTTTCTATTGGTCAGCTCGCGAATTTTCGATAACGATGTAACGGTATGGCTTTACTATTTATTTATTTTTAAGTGTTGTTATTTAATCAAAAACATTTAGTTATTAAAAAGTATTTATTTTTATTTTTAATTAGTGTGTACGTACTTTTTTAATTATTTTTATAATATATTTAAGCCAGCATTCTATTAATTTTTCACTTACTCTTTTAAATTTGGTTTTGAAATAAAATTTTGCGATTGGACGGTATAAACACATTATATACTGTAATCTAACAAAAGAAATCTCGCAAATGAATTGAACAATTGCATCTTTAGTTGAACTGTTTTTTAAAATCTAAATTGATTTTGATATAAAAGTTAATTGAAACTATTCTAGGTGTTTATCTTTTATACAGTTGAAATAATTGCAATAAATTTTTATATTGAAATCAATTGTAATTAAAAAATTGAATACCATTTTTATATAATTATATATAACTTTTTATGTAATTTTTGAAATAGTTCAACATTATTTGTAAGTTAGAGTTATCTAAAATTTTTACTTAGGTTAGGGAAAACATTTTGTTGTGTGTGTCCTACAGATTTTACAAAGAATAATATTTTTTTAACTACAATCCTAAAAAAATATTAAATAACAAAATAATATTCTTGCTGATAACTTTGTATGCTATTATATATTTTATTTTATTTTATTTTAAATAGTGTAATCTGTTTAATGGTGCCGAAATAATAACATCGTAATCTATTCTACTTTTAAATTTATCTTTAACCCGATTTCACCTTTTATCCATTATTTTTTCCCGTTGTTAGTTACGGCTTCCATTTTTTGTAAAACGCTATCATGACGTCACATCATGCTTGTTTTTTCCTTCGTTTATCTCAACTTTGCTTTTTTCAAATTAATTTATTTAATAAACAAAAAATGCGAAATATTTGAAGTATTCAATTTCATTTTGTATTGTTATAAATGTATTGTTTTAATGGAAACTACGAGTTTCCATTACAATTACTATTCTGGTGATCAGCGATTTCTATTTATACGCTGTAATTTTGCCTTTAATACTTCTAATTTTTTAATTTTCTAATTAATAACAAAATTTCAATATATATTAGGAACAATTATTGTCTATTGTAGCTAGTTATCTACACAGTTGTTTAACAATTTAGTAGTTGGTATATATATAGACTATATATATGTAAAATAATATTTCTCTTTTATAAAGTTCTCTTTTATAAGTTTCAAAAAATGTAAAATAATATTTCTCTTTTATAATGTTTTCGTAGTTAGTTAAACTACTATTCTAAAGTAGTTTAACCAACTATAATATAGTTGGTTAAACTACTTTAAAATAGTAGTTTAACTAACTACGAAAACTTTATAAAAGAGAAATATTATTTTACATTTTTTGAGTCTTATTGTTATTGTTTCGTTCTGTTTTTATTACAATAAATTTTTTTTTTGTTTCTTTAGGTTATGTACAGAAAAAATTAATATGATTAATAATGATGAAATAAAAAGTGCTACATTTTTATTCAACTCTAATCAAGGATTTAAAACAAGTTTGCATGAATTAAACCAATGCTCAAAAAAGTCAAGAATTTTACAAGATAATCAACAGTTTAATTCTATAGTACTACAAAGTGTTAACCAGAGATCTATTATTCTTAAAACAACTGAAAAAAATAAAGCACTTTCACATTGTGGGTGCTACCATAAATATATAAGTGCTTTGCCAAATGTAAAGCAAATGAAAAGGACTAAAGAATGTCTTTTAATGCTAAGATATATAATTCAATTTATATCATTAGTTAATGCGCTTGAAAAAGAAGTTGGAGATAAAACTACTATTTTGGTATCATTTGAGCAAAATACTTTAGTAAATAATGTACATGAGAGTATGTTTAAAGAGTTTTTATCAATGGCTGAAACATTTTGTTTTTCAATTGATTGTTCAATAGAAAATTTGTTTAAGCTTGGTTCATTCACACAGATGATAAAGTGTACTTTTAATGACAAAATTGCATATTTTCAATATATTAAAAAAATAGTTTCTTTCAATACAGCTTCCTCTCTTGTAATAAAAATAAAAACTTTACTTCAATCTGTAAGATATTTTTATCACAAATTTACAATAGTTCAAAGTTATTTGATGAAAAAAAATTTAGTTTGTTTACCAACTTCTGGATTGATTTATCGGTTTAATATTTTAATATCATTATTAACAGATTTTGCCAATGATTTACTCACTAACAAAATATTTTCTACTCATTTATTACAAAGCCAAACTATTATATTTACCCCATTGCATTGCAATAAGTATAGTTTAACTGAATATGTGCAGGATATAGCTCAAGTGCGAGCTGAGGATATTAAATATTTACTTCTTAATGAGCTGATTTGCATATCAGATAAAATTCCTTCAGACAGTAGAATAGTTCAGTGTTTAGACAACAAATATGAAACATTTCTTAATAGCAGATTTTTAGATGATTCTTCGACAAATGCATTAAAACAAATTTATAAGATCATAATGGCAGGAGAAAAGAATTTTATTAGTATACTATTTGATGACATAAAGTTAACAAACTCGCTTATTTTATCAGGAAATTTTTTTTTAAAGAGCTTAGATAAAGTTCAAATTTCTAAAACTGTTCTTTGGGATTCAGATATAGGTCCTATTGAGAAAAATAAATTGGTGAGTATTTACACAGATGCAGTATGGTTGCAACTTGAAAACTCTTTCCGAGAATATTATTTGTTTTCTTGTATAGAAATGGAAAGTTTAACAAAGAGGTTGAATGAATATAGTTGTTTACAGGAAGCAACAAATATTCTAAGATTATTCAAAAAAATTGAAAATGGTAAATATTTTTCAAATATGTTTGTTATTATATATATATATATATATAAATTTTATTCGTTTATTTTTTAATATACTTTTTTCAATTATATTTTTTTTAGTTGCACCATCAACTTACTTAAACTTTTTAAGAGAAGCAATCCTTAGTATGTTTGATTTTCATAATTTACAGATCTGGGATTCTAGTATGTTTTTATTGCTGTCTTAATTTGTTGTCATTATTAGGGTAATATTTTATGTTTTTTAATTAATGTTGTGACTGCAATATGTGTGTATATATCTTATACTGCTGAGTTAGGTGAGCATGATGATGTCATACTCACTTAATGTCAAATGCTGCCGGGGGCTTCAGTACATACATCGACTGACAAATAGCCTGACTCGCCGTGGAGTGCTGCTACATTGACTGAGGGTTTGGTATGGGTCAGCAACATTTTCATTCATTATTCTTTGTTTTCCCTCATCGTTTTCTAAAAATGCTCACTTAATTTAGGCTAGCAAAAAAAATGAGCAATTGCGCATATAAATATGCTATAGTAGATATATATATATATATATATATATATATATATATATATATATATATATATATATATATATATATATATATATATATATATATATACCAGGGCCTCAATAAGACCTGCAGGCCACATTTGGCCCTCAGCAACCATTTTTCTGGTCCTTTAATTTTTATTAACATATAATCAATAGAGATTAATTTACTAAGAAATGTTTGAAGTATTTAGAAAATCTTTTAAATTTAAAATTTTTTTGTATATATTTAAAATTTGAGAATTTAGCCAAAATGGCATTTTCTTTAAACACAATGGAAAATTGACAAGGAATGTTATGTATTTAACGGTAAATGGTAAACAAAATACTTTTTGGGTAATATTCAATAGCTATTGATGAATCAACCGATATATCACAAGTTGCTTAATTGGCTGTTTTTATTTGTGTTTTTGATTTTCTTGTTACAAAAGAGCTACTTGACTTCTATCTACAGATACAGTTGATAAAATATAGCATATAATACATACAACATAGTAAAAATCCAACAAATGAGAATGCATAAAAAGCAATTTTTATGCAATCTTAAACAAAGGGTTTAAGATTGCATAAAAATTGCTTTTTATGCAATCTTAAACCCTTAAACTTTTGTGGGGTTTGTTGTTTGATATCTTTAGTTAGGAATCTTTGTGTCAAGTTTATTTGTGATTAGGTCTCATGAGAGATAATACTGTTGAGTCTCAATGCAATCAAAAATGCTAGAACTTTATTTTTATAATAGTTTTTTTTCCAGTTAATATATATTTTTAATGTTATTTGTCTCACTTTTGATAAAAACCACAAATATTGATAAGCTGAAAATCCTTTTTGAACCTTAACTAAGCAATTGAACCTAAATAACTTGTATAATTATGTTTATAAATTGTATATAAAGATAAATTTAGACAAAATTAGACTTAAATATTTTATGTTTCACAGTTTGTTAAGTTCTCTGCATTCATATAATTGTCCTTTTGCAAGATTTTAATGGGAAAATTAATCTGAGAGTAAAAAACTTGGTTTGAATTATGAAAACATTTTAACATTAGGGGCCATCCATAAAGTATGTATGCAGGTATGGAGGAGGGGGTTTCCCAAAAGTGTACGAAAGCATACAAGGGGAGGGGGTATTAAAGGCAGTGAGTACATATATGTGGTTTGACTATCTCTCCTAAGCTTGATTTAATTTTTTTTAGATTTAATTTCATGTGTGTAACAAATCAGAATTGTGTTTTTTTTTCTGACTTCAGTCACAATTTTTTTAAAATTTTTTTATAAATAAGGAGGAGAGAAAAAAGAAACCAAGTTAATTTTAAAAAATAATAATACGTACGTATGTGGAGGGAGGGGAGGTGACTCCGTAAGCGTACATGTTCGTACATGGGGGGAAGGAGTACTAAATCAGTAGTTTTACTGCATATGTACTTATGGATGCCCGCTTAGACAAAACAGCTGAGATTATGCTCATAAAAATAAACATACACTCAGCAAAATTTCCATAGTTACATCAAGTTAGATGTAGTTGTTGCAGGTTTTACGCAGAATGTATAAAATTACAAAAATTATCTTTATTAAAACTGTTGTAAACAAATGTGTTTACAGTAGGTCTAATTTTTAAATTAGACCTACTGTAAACACATTTGTTTACTTAAATTTTCTAGAAAGTTTAAAATCATTATATATAAAGGCAAAATTTCCAAAGTTATATCAGGTTTTTTTTACCACTAGATGAGTTGATTAAAATTTGAGTAAGATTTTAATTTGTTTGTTCAATATAAAAATTTTGTGTATTTTTATTTAACATTGGTTATTTAACTATTAAAATGCTATGTAGAAGGGTATTAAATAAGAAAGAAAAAGCAATTTTTTCAAAATCGAGACTGTTCTAGTGACTAAAAATGATCGGAAAATCGAACAAAAAAAGTTTAATTAAGATGGACCTGATAGTTAAAAGTATTATTAACATAATTTCACCAAAATGCTAGTATTACTTTAAGTTGTAACTTTGAATGAGGGAGAGTTACAGTACAGACCCCATTTTGTTTCTGCTGCAAAACTTCTATATGTTTTATTACAGTGAAAATGAGCGTAAGAAACTATGAATATCTTTTAAAAGATAGTTTGATTGAGTTTAGTGAAGATTTACATACTGAGATTTTCCAACAAAGTAATGCAACAATTCACATGGCACAAAGTGTAAAACAGTGGTTCCAGGAAATGATATATAAATGAGAATATTGGCACCAACTATATATGGAAATTCTCAACAGTATATGATACAAAAACTTTGATCCTGCAAGCATAGAAAGATACTTCAAAGGCTTGTTTTGAAAACCATACAAAAAGTATGAAAAATGAAATCTTAAAATTAAGTAGCGTGTGCATTGATAAAAACTATAGTAGTTAAGAAATTGTTACTTAATAAAAAAAATAATAATAATTAAGGATTACTTTTGATGGAATTATATAAATTTCAATTTTACATTTTTGTTAGATTAAATTTTTTGCATTGAAATTTATTTTAATTGTGGTAATATTTTCTTTAAAGTAGTATAATATTTTGCTTTAGATAATTGTAAAAGCATGGTCATTTTTACCAAAGATAATTTCAGATACACTGAGAGTGTTCCTTCAAGTAAAACTCTAGTTAACCTTTTATTAACTCAACAAAACATTGAATCATATTATAATATTTTTAGTATAATTTCAAATCGAGTTTCCTTAAGTTGGATAGTTGATAACTTTGTGTCACCATGGTTAACAGTGTGCACATTTATATATCTATGCTTTTATTGTAAAAGACAGCAGTATCTTAGTTCAGCATCATGGGGACCATTTTTTGTTGTATCAGTTATAGATATAAAATATACATTATTGTGTTTTCAAAACATGAACAATATCTTAAATCAATTAGCAATAAGAGATGAGAACTTTAGTTGCATCCCTCTTTTGAATCTTTCTTCAATACTTGAGAGTTTAAAGGTATTTTTCATTACAACATTTTTGTTTTAGATTGTTGTTTTGGATTATTTATTTATTTTTTTTTATTGTTTTTTTTTTTCAATGCAACTATGATTTTTTTGCTTTTTATTAAAAAGTAATTCTGGGCAAAGTGCTCTAATGTGTAAAACTTTTGAAATTCGTTCTTCTATATGTAAAAATACAGATAAAAGTACATCTTAAGACATATAAAAATCTGTTAAAAACTCACTTCCTCATCAAAATTAGTTTTTAAAATAGGGTCTATAAATGTACATTTGTGGTGTATTTGTTAAATAAAAAAGTGATGTTAATTATAGTATAGTTTGTTTGAAATTGCAGAATCAAAAATTATATATTAGTATAGTATTTTATAAATACTCAAAAGTAATTTTTTTTTCTAATTTACACATGTAAACATATGAAAAATATTTTTAATTTTTCTAAAATATAATTAAGGGTATGTATGTTTTGGGTGGAAACTTTCTAGTTTTCTAAAATTTTTTAGTGGGGATGGTCTCTGGCAGTAAATTTTATTGTGATTATTTAGTCATTTGAAGAAGAAAGTTATAAAATGTTGAATGATTCTATAAGTAGGCGAACAAAAACTGCTTTGGAACAGCATATGCCTCTTGGGAAAGTTTGGAAAAGGCGAGGATCTTGTGAGCATTTAATAAAATTACTTAAAAATTTTTTAAAATTATTTTTGTTATATGTATTTTTGTTATATGTATTTTGTTATATGTATTTTTTTTTTAATATTTTTTTAGCTCTTCAAGCACAAGAACCCAATAATTATATTAAACTTGTTATCGAAATTGTTCTTGCTCCTGTCATAGAAAACGTTTCTTGTTTGCCCCAAAATAAAAAAATTGATGTTCTGTGCGGTTGTATAACACAGTTTATCAGGTCATGGATGGATTACATTTTGCTAAAAAAGATAAAGTTTAGGTAGAGAGTTTTTTTGTCTTATTTGTTTATTTCAAATTAAAAAAACACTAATGATATATCTTTTTTGCATAAATTAATTATTTTTTGCATAAATTAATTATTTTGGGAATTGAACAGAAAAACTAAAGTAACTTAAGTAAATGCACTTTTTATTTTATTATTTTACTTTAAAATCAAAGAGTTAAATTGTTTAAAATGCAATCTAACTTAATAGAATCTTTTTTTAAATTAAAAAAAAAAATTTTTTTAAATTAAATTTTCCTTAAATTTACATATATTCTTTTTTTTTTAATTATTTTTTTTTTCCTTAATTGAAAAATAAATAAAGATGACTGAAATACCCATTTGCAAAAAATACATAACGATGGCTGAAACATTTGCAAAAAATAAACAAAAATGGCTGAAACATTTGCAAAAAAATACAAAAAAATAATTTTCAAAAAAGTTTCATTTGATAAGTAGCATTACTTTAAAATTTCAAACAAACAGTTGAACTTTTGTATGGTTTGGTAAATTATTTCATTATTACCTAAATTAGCTATAAAAGTTATTTGAAGGGAAAAATAAAAATATCACAATATCTTCCCTCATAAATTTGGTTACTATCTCTCAATAAGCAGCAACTTCCAAACATTCTGCCAATTAATTGAGGTAGTTAGGGTGCAAAAAAATGAGCTAGTTAGGACGCAAAATAAAATAAAATCAGAATCCAAAATATTCTGGCACCATAAAATTTTTGGAAGGCAGCTGCCGATTGATATGAAAAAAAACAACCCAGATGTGAAAAGATTTATAAACAGTGGGTTAGATAACTTAAAATAATATTCATTTTAAAAAACTCTTTAGTTTTTTTGGAAGTCAGCAGCTGTTTGTCGATTTTCAATACTTTTCTCTTTGGTTTGGACAAGGTTGTATGAATTTATTACAAGAAGAGATAAATGTTATTCACTTGTTGCCTGCGTTTAATAAAATGAAAAATGCTATCTTGTTACTTTCGTGTCAACCTTCAAACTCAAAGAAAGTAGAAGATTCAAATAAAACACTTGTTCTATCAAGCACCTCTACTTTATCTCAAGTTTCAACAGGTTTTTTATATTTTATTTATGTATTGTTTTCATTTGAGAGAAGTCAGAAAGTGGGGGAAGTAAAAGAAGTTTAAGCTAAGCTTTGTTTAAAAAACTTTTACAGGTGCTATGAAGTTAATGTAGGGGAAGGTGGTATCAAAAGTAGTAGGTGATGATTGTAACAGTTGCCCTGCATTATTTTTTGTAACAAATATATGACAATCAACACCTAATAAAGTAAATTATAGTTTATCAAATAAATAAATCTTTTTGTTTTAACAGTTCAATAGCATCTGTGTAGTTAGTAGTTATTAGGGGTGGTAGATTAATATGTATTTCAAATTAATCAATTAACGATTAACTCTCTAAAAATTAATTGAATAATTAATTAATTTCGAGTAATTTTTACAAATAAATTTTTACAGTTTAAAAAAAGTAAATATAACTTCTTATGATTTTATTTCTCTTTTTTCATCAGTTATGATCTGATGTTCAAAAGTTATTAACAGTGTCATCATTTAAACTAGTTTTTAACTTAGTAATAAATAAACCTGAAGTACTAAAACTTCCTTCTGCTTCTACAGAAGAGGATGGAAGGCTAGGCATGGGGTTGTAAACCTTTTCTAAGGACTTTTCTAACCAGCAATAAAATAATTTCTTCTTTCAGTAAATCTCTCAGAGACTACATTTAATAGTTTTTGACAAATATTAGTATTTTTTTACCTAAAATTTTGTATTAAAAACAAATTTACTTTAACATATTTTATTAGACCACGTCTTCTTTTCCAAGTGCCATAACACTTAACTCTACAACATGAAGAGTCTGAAAAATATCAGAAATGTGTTTTATTTCTTCTTCTGATAAAATCAAATCTGTTCTTATATCTACAAGAGCTTTTCCAATAAGGTTTTTAATTCCAAAAATTTTTTTAACATTGATTTGAGAATTCCATCTTGTTTTAGTATCCAGAATAGGCATAAGTTCTTTTCCTAAATCTGATCTACAAATGTTTTGAAGAGTATCGTTTTTAAGTGGTAATTTTCTAAACAGCTAGACAATTTTATGAACCTTTGATATAATGATACCATAGTCCTCAAATAGTCATTAAATTGCATTTCCTTATCAACAAAGCTGATACCTTCCTCATTCCAGCATTCTTCATTTTCATTTTCATTATCAGGGTCAGAACAAGATTCTTCATTTTCATTTAGCTCTTCCATAATTAGTTCTTCTTCAGTTGTTTCTGTTGCTTAACCTTTTTCTTGTAAAGAATATCACATACCGCAAGATTAATTCCATGGCAATAGCAGGTGGATAACTCCCATTTCTCTTTCCATTTTTTTCATGACTAATGCACCATCAGTAACACACCCAAAGATATCATTGATTAAATTTAAGCCAAAATCATTTAACTTTTCAATAACAATATTAACTGCTCTTACTGAAGCCATCGAACCATTTATTCTAATCATTTCAAGATCATTATAAAATTTGTCTGAACACTGAATGTACATTAAGTTCCACCTGAAGTCCACTCATCAAGAGAAATTGAAACCCTTTCTCCAGTTATTTTTTTTTGCTGAAGCTCTTAAGCAATTTTTAATTTTATTGAGCTTGCGTAGTTCATAACAGTTCCCTTTATAATCACTGATGATCAATATGCATTGATCATCAGTGATTTTAAGTCCTTAAGCTTTCCAGCCATTTTAAATATCTTTACTATTGGCCAAAGTTGCAAAAGAAATACGATCTACAGCTGTTAAACGAGCTAATACTTCTTCAGCTTTGTTACCTGTTTTATCCCAGTAGGCAGCAAACTTAGCAGTGTATTTTTTGTCTTTTCTAAAACAGTTTTGGTTGGAAAATTTTTATGTTTGTGCTCTAAATGGTATAAAAAACTTGAAGTCGATGAATGGAATTTAATTTCCACTGAGTAATGTTTGCATTTGTATAATGATTTCACTTTATTTTCCAATCAAAAATGCTTACAAACGTCAGTACGACTTTTTCCATTCGACATTGTAAATGGCATTCAGGCTTCTCTATGACTACATTGCATTATTTGTTTACATTTGTTTACTTGTACCGGAAAAGTAAAAACAGTTGTTATTGTTTCTTAAACAATGCTATTTTGTTATTAAAACGGAAAAGGGTAAATAAAAAAAAACTAAAACAGTTATAGCGTTTTAAATAAAAAAATTAATCGATTAATCGTTTGTTAATTAATGGGTCAATAATTAATTTTTATTATTCGAATAGTTGTTAATCAATTAATTGTTAATTGTTTACCACCCCTAGGGGTTATTGATTTTTACTTTTTTGACAGAAAAATACTAAATAATTTTTTAACATCTGATTTATCTTTCAACGTCCGTTAAGTTCTACATACAATGTGTAATACAAAGTGGTAATAACACTAATAAATTCTAGTAATAACACTAATAATTTGTGGTAATAACACTAATAAATTCTGGTAATAACACTAAAAAATTCTGGGAATAACACTAATAAATTCTGGTAAAAACACAAGTAAATTCTGGTAATAACACTAATTAATTCTGGTAATAACACTAATTAATTCTGGTTTATGACTAATAAATTCTGAATTATGACTTTTTTCACCGCCCACATTTATAATCAGACATGTTTTTGAAAGTTTCAGGTTTCTGAGGGTAATAAAAAAAGATTAAATTACTTTTTACACCCATAAAGTTTTTATTCAATTTATATGTTGTTAAACTTTAAAAAATTGTCATACGTACATTATGTTTAAGTAGCTAATAAGGATAATGTGATGAAATTACTTTATTTCAGTTGGTTCAAAACTTTTATTATAACTGGTTGGATTGTTTTAGAAACGTTTACTGGTAGTCAATTTGAAGACTTAATCTTAACCATTGATATGCCAAAAAAAGAAAATTGGCTGTCTCTTCGTGTCAAAGGCGGTTCTCCAAAAAGCGCATTTTTATGCATCAAAAAGCAAGAGTAGATGTTTTATTTAGTTTATTGTAGATTTCATAATAATCTTTTTTATTTCAATATTTAATATTGAATATTTTTAAATAATATAAATATGTTTAAATACGATTGAAATATTTATCGAAATTTATTTTTTAAATTATTGTATATTTTATGTATTTACAAATAAAATGATAACATCTTCTAAAAGTCAAATACATTTTTGAGTTTTTAAAATAGGGGAGAGTGGGGAGAAGTGGGACAGCCTGAAATTTCTAGTTAGGAGTGGTGCCTAAATACTGTTATTTAATGTAAACAATTAAATTTCTTCCCCTCTATTTAGCAGAAATTGGTAATAGGTAGTTTTATGATTTTATCAGTTTCTATTTAATAATTTGTGTTAAAATATTGTTTTATATTTATTTGTCCTACTTCTACTCACACTTGTCCCACTTTTCCCCAATGGCACGGTTTCTCTAAAAGCAAAAATTTATATACTCAGTTATAATTGGCTAGAAACTTAAAGAGATTGAATCGGTGCCTAAAAAGAAGGTTTATTTGTAAAAACTTGTTTGGTTCAGTTTATACATCAAATAAAAAAAATATCGCAATTACTCTAAAAAGAATTTACGTGGCCCACTTCTCCCCAATCCCCCTAAAACTTCTTTTCACTCTCCCCAACTGATCTCGAAGCAAAATTTATGGAATTTCGCTTTTTATTACTATTTATCGGGTGGACACGGAAAAATCCGGTCATCTTTAAATTGAGATTTCTCCAAAACCACAAATGCTTTTTATTTAATTTTTTTTTTAATTAAACCTTACTTCCTTATCTTCAATGGTGTTGATAAATTTTTGTTTACAAATTAATGATTTGCAAAATGTTTTGGAAACAAGTTGAGGTGCGTAAAAAAGTTGTGAATTTTTTTTGCAAAAATCCATCGACTTCCTATCGCTTGATTGCTAAACGCACAAATGTCCCAAAATCTACAGTCATAAATATTATAAACAAGTTCAAGACTACTCAAAGCTTCGAAAGAAAACTTGGAAGTGGAAGAAAAAAAACTTTCCATAAACCCAAAAAGGTAAAGTCGATTTTACGTTCAATAGCAAGAAATCCAAATCAGTCACAGCGAGATCTAGCAAGAAAATTTAAGACTTCTCGTTTTTATATCAAAAAAGTACTTAAAAATGCTGGAATTAAAGCATTTCATAAAAAAAATACACCTAAGAGAAGCTTAAATTGTGAAATTAAGGAAATTCGACGCGCAAAGAAGTTGGTTAAAATAATGGCGGATAAAAATATGTGCATAATTGAAGACGACGAAACGTATTGCAAGGCGGATTTTTCACAACTTCCTGGTCAACAGTTTTACTATGAAAACAAAGATAAACCTGTCGATGATCAATTTAAATATATTCGACAAGAAAAATTTGCATCCAAGTTCCTTGTGTGGCAAGCAATTTGTAGCTGTGGTATGCAGTCCTCTTGTTTTGTCACTAAAAAGACCTTGACTGCCAATCTCTACATCAAAGAATGCCTCCAAAAAAGACTTTTGCCTTTTATAAAAAAACACAAATACCGATGTCTCTTTTGGCCCGATCTTGCTGCCTCTCACTATTCTAAAAAAGTTTTACAGTGGTGCAAAGATAATAATGTGAAAATTGTTCCTAAAGATGCGAATCCCCCAAATCGTCCTGAAGAGCGCAAGATTGAAGATTTTTGGGCAATAGTTAAAGGAGTTCTTCGAAAAACAGGTGGACTAACAAATAATAAAAAGGACTTCAAAAAAAGTAGATTAATGCCACCAATATGGTGAAAAAAGAAAAAATCTGTAAAATGATGGCATCAACCCGCTATAAAGTTTGATTTCTTGCCAAGCAACCCATCAAGCCCCTTAAAACTAAGTTGAAACTCTAATTTATGTAAACACATTTAATAATAAAAAAATTGAAATAAAAAGCATTTATGGTTTTAGAGAAATCTCAATTTAAAGTTGACCGGATTTTTCCGTGTCCACCCGATATATAGTTAAAGAGTAACTTTTTTTAACAAACTAAAATATTTCCTAGATACATTTAGCGCGCGTTCACTTACTTATGATTTCTAAAGAATACAACAGTTTTTTTATTTTTAAAAAATTTTAGGCTTGATCGGAAAAATCAATCATATATAAAATGAACTAGATGTCTAACTTCGATCCCAAAAGTGAAGCCGCTTTTTTATAAAGTAATGTTGCGAAAGCCATTTCTAACTAAGGAAAAAAACTTATTTAACTATATATTATTTTAAAATTTTCAACATTAAATTGGTAAAATGCTGTGCTACATACGGTTGTTCTAGCTGATACATGAGAAGAAATAACATAAATTTTCATAGACTCTAAAGGTATCCTAGCATTATGTTGATGAAAAATGAAATAATGTTTTTTAGAATTGAACCTTGCTCAAATTCAATAGTAAAAGTATATTTTTTCGAAAATAGTATTAGAATATCAAGAACATTCTTTCCAAACAGAATGACTGAATAAGCGCAAATTTCTTAAGTACGAACTGGCATAAGTGAAAAGCAGTTGTAAAAACTCGACCTGGTGTAAGTGCGAATTGATATAAGTGCGCTGAGCAAATTTGCAAACATTGACATAAGTGCGAAGCAGTTATAAAAACTGGCATAAGTGCGCCAAATAAGTTTACAAACATTGGCATAAATGCAAATTGGCATAAGTGCGATCTGGTATAAGCGCAAAACAGTTACAAAACTCGAATCGCCATAAATGTAAACTTGCATAAGTGCGCCGAATAAATTTTCAAACATTGGAAAAAGTGCGAACTGGCATAAATGCAAATTGACATGAGTGCGAAATGTAAACTTGCACTTATGTTAATATCTTCAATTTTATTTGGCGCACTTATGCCAAATCACACTTGTGCCAGTTCACACTTATGCCAGTTTTTGTAACTGCTTCGCACTTTTGATAGTTCGCAATTATGCTAAATCGTACTTATACCAATGTTTACAAATTTGTTTGTCGCACTTATGCTAGTTCGCACTTATGCAACTACACAAAAAAAGATTAATAAGACCAAAGTAAAGAAAGTTTAATATTAATCAACATAATAATACCAATAACATCAATAAGCAGTTTAATACAAACTCACGAGCGTGTTCTACAAGTAGGAAAAAGCTGAGAAAAGATCTTGAAAAACATTTCATAATGATGAATTCATTTTTATGCATTTTAAACAAATGAAAACGCGTTTTCATTTGTTTAAAATGCATAAAAAATGAGTTCATCATTTTTTCAAAAGTATGCGTTTGTAATATATGTAGTAAAAAGCTTTCCATGTATCATGATTATTCAAGACGTTGGGGTTTTCAACATACAACCACGTTATTATATATATATATATATATATATATATATATATATATATATATATATATATATATATATATATATATATATATATATATATATATATGTATATATATACATATATATATATATATACATATATATATATATATATATATACATATATAATATATATATATATATATATATATATATATATATATATATATATATATACATATATATATATGTATATATATATATATATATATATATATATATATATATATATATATATATATATATGGAAATGGATTATATATAGTATATAAAACCTGTTATATATAACAGGTTGAAATTTCACAACTGCCAATTTTTCATATATCTAAATGGCTTTACTAATTGGTCCTGTAAACGAACTTCTGCCTGATGTTGGACCATCAACTTTGTTTAAACGGGACTTTATTTATGTACAGAAGACAAACAAACCATTGCACCGGACGTCCTAATGCTTTTCACCAAAAACCTCAAATATGAAAACCAATGGAAGGACCGCTTTAATAAAAAAAAGCTCTTTGGAAAAATAGGAAATCTACAAATTATCTTTAAATGGCAGAAAAATAAATATAAACACTTTAATAATCCGCAAGTTATACACTTACTTTTTATAACACCCCTACCAAGCAAAGGAATCCAGAACAAAATAGAGGCAGAAATAAATATATTTTTTTGGGGAGGTAAAATATGTAGACTTAACAAAACAAAAACACAAAAAAAAATAAAAAACGGTGGAGCAGGAATTAACAGCTTAATCAACAAACCTAAGGCAGTTCAGTTGTAATGGGTAAGCAAATTTTACAATGAAAATATAGATGTACAGTCGTGGCCAAAAGTTTAGAATCACATGTGAACTTTTCATTTTTTTGTGTTTTTGTTGAACCTTGGTCAGAAATATTAATTCTATTTAGTTGTCTTTGTTCCGGTATTTAGTTAAACCATTTGTGGTAGCTAAGCAGCAGTTTTAATTACATTTTTTGATCATTTTAATGGGAAAAAAGAAGGAATTATCAGAAGTTATTAGAGGTCAAATTCTTATATTAGCTCAACAAAAAAATTCAACTAGAGATATTGCAAAAATTGTAAATGTATCACAATCTTGTGTTAGTAAGACATTAAGTAGAATTCGACAATGTGGAACATTTTCGTCACGTGGGAGAAGTGGCAGACCAAAATAAGTGACTGAAAGGTTGACAAGACGCATCAAGTTTATTGTGGAGAATAATCCCAAGCTGTCATCATAAGGGATTCTGGATGATTTGAGTCCTGGAAATGCTGAAGCAAGTTTATCAAGCACAAGAACGATCAGACGTGTGCTGCAGATTGATCTGAAGCGTCCTGCTCAACGACCTGCCAAGAAACCAGCCTTGAATGACACTCAACGCAAGAGGAGGTTGGACTTCTGCAAAAAGCACAAACATTGGAAGGAGAAGGACTGGGAGAAAGTAATGTTTTCTGATTAAAGCACATTTGAACAATTTGGGACATCATGTAATTATGTTAGAAGACCACAAGAATCCAGGTATGTTCAGAAGTACACTGTGCCTACTGTAAAACATCCACCGTCAATAATGGTGTGGGGTTGCTTCTCAGCTCGCTTTCGCGGCCGGTTACATTTTGTACCGAAGGG